GCTGACAGAACACACTGCAAATTAAGGTTGCGAAATTCCAGAGTTCAAGAAATCCTGGTTGGAGGCTACCAGATTCCTGTTTATTCCAGATTCCTGTTTATTCCAGATTCCTGTTCATTCCCTACTGATCCTGGGAATCTTCTAACCAGGATTTCTGGAAAACCTTTGAATTTGGGGCAAGTTATCAGAATTTTGAATCCTACAGTGCAAATACACACAGACTCTCCTGTTGTATATTTAAGTAATTTATATAACACTTTCAGTTGAGAGTTAGTTCTATTCTACTGACTCACACTCTACTCCCGGTAATGAAATTATGTTTACATTTATTAAAATAGAACAGATCATTTTAATTATGCTTTCTTAATAATTGTTTCAACACATAAGCATTTTTGGGTCGAGAACGAGTCCTAATTCGGCAAACAGCTCAAACAGTCTGGGGCAAAAAGGATTGGTTTTGAAACATGGCCACTTAAGCTGATTTCTACGTGCTCTATGCCTCTTCTTATGAAGTCTGCTGCAGTTCAGTAACACAGGCCAGAAGGGATGGGCTGGGGACCACAAATCCATGCTCTCTTGAATGGTCAGTCTTCTCACACGCCACACTGTTGTTTAACAATACTTTTTAAATATTCTACCCCTTTTAATTGAGGATTTACTTTGAAAGTTTCCATTCAACCAGGGAGGGAAGGAGGAGGATGCAATAGTGGGTGGTGTCCCCCCCAGGTGGTGTCCCCCCCAGGAGGTGTCCCCCCAGGAGGTGTCCCCCCAGGAGGTGTCCCCCCAGGAGGTGTCCCCCCCAGGAGGTGTCCCCCCCAGGAGGTGTCCCCCCCAGGAGGTGTCCCCCCAGGAGGTGTCCCCCCAGGAGGTGTCCCCCCCAGGAGGTGTGTCCCAGAGGACCTGCTGTCCTGTTCCAACTGCTTCACCAGTGCTCTGGTCGCAGACATATTCTCTAGACTAGAGATAGTCCATGTTGCTGTGGAGAGAGCGACGTACAGAACAGAGATAGTCCATGTTGCTGTGGAGAGGGTATAGATAGTAGAGAGGAACACTTACAGAACACAGATATTCTCTCTAGAGATGGTCCATGAGGAGAGGGGCCAAAGAACAGATATCCTCTCTAGAGATTGCCCTCTCCTCATGGACTAAGAAAATATATTCTCTCTAGAGATGGTCCGTGAGGGAGAGGGGCCAAAGTACTCCCATTGGTCCTTCTCAATCCTCTATGTACTCCCATTGGTCCTTTTCATAGCCTTCATGAACGTGTTGTAACAGCACCCTCCGCCGGCTCTCACAGTACCTACACAGAAACAGAGATGTTGTACAATATCTACACAGAAACAGAGATGTTGCACAATATCCTACACAGAAACAGAGATGTTGCACAATATCTACACAGAAACAGAGATGTTGCACAATATCCTACACAGAAACAGAGATGTTGCACAATATCTACACAGAAACAGAGATGTTGCACAATATCCTACACAGAAACAGAGATGTTGCACAATATCCTACACAGAAACAGAGATGTTGCACAATATCTACACAGAAACAGAGATGTTGCACAGTACCCTACACAGAAACAGAGATGTTGCACAATATCTACACAGAAACAGAGATGTTGCACAATATCTACACAGAAACAGAGATGTTGCACAATATCTACACAGAAACAGAGATGTTGCACAATATCTACACAGAAACAGAGATGTTGCACAGTACCCTACACAGAAACAGAGATGTTGCACAATATCCTACACAGAAACAGAGATGTTGCACAATATCCTACACAGAAACAAAGATGTTGCACAATATCCTACACAGAAACAGAGATGTTGCACAATATCCTACACAGAAACAGAGATGTTGCACAATATCCTACACAGAAACAGAGATGTTGCACAATATCTACACAGAAACAGAGATGTTGCACAGTACCCTACACAGAAACAGAGATGTTGCACAGTACCTACACAGAAACAGAGATGTTGCACAATATCTACACAGAAACAGAGATGTTGCACAATATCTACACAGAAACAGAGATGTTGCACAATATCTACACAGAAACAGAGATGTTGCACAATATCTACACAGAAACAGAGATGTTGCACAATATCTACACAGAAACAGAGATGTTGCACAATATCTACACAGAAACAGAGATGTTGCACAATATCTACACACAGGAGAGAATATACCAAACATTAAGAACACCTGCTCTTTCCATGACTGACCAGGTGAATCCAGGTGAAAGCTATGATCCCTTATTGAGGTAACCTGTTAAATCCACTTCAGTCAGTATAGATGAAAGGGAGGAGACAGGTTAAAGAAGGATTTATAAGCCTTGAGACAGTTGAGACATGGATTGTGTATGTGTGCCATTCAGAGGGTGAATGGGCCAGACAAAATATTTAAGTGCCTTTGAACGGGGTTTGGTAGTAGGTGCCAGGTGCACCGGTTTGAGTCAAGAACTGCAACGCCGCTGGGTTTTTCAGGCTAACAGTTTCCCCATGTGTATCGAGAATGGTCCACCACCCGAAGGACATCAAGCCAACTTGACAACTGTGCGACGCATTGGAGTCAACATGGGCCAGCATCCCTGTGGAACGCTTTCGACACCTTGTAGAGCTCATATCCCGACAAATTGAGGCTGTTCTGAGGGCTAAAGGGGGTGCAACTCAATATTAGGAAGGTGTTCCTAATGTTTGGTATACTCAGTGTATGTTGAACAATATCTACACAGACATGCTTCAGGGCCCACCAAAAGGGTAAAAATGTGTCACGTCATAATTACACAATTTTAAGGTTGTAAATTGGTTCATATA